GACGAAAAAAAACCAGCAACATTGCCTAAAATGGTTCGGAAAGTGAAGGCTCGACTTAAACGAAATCCACGTCGTAGTACTAATCAAATGGCCAAAGAACCGATAATATCTGAACGAAGCATCTGACGCATTTTCCAAAATAAGCTCAAGGTAAAGCTTTAAAAGTTCCAAGGCACAAGATCTTGCACCAAAGCAACAAAAAGTTAAACTCGAATGAGCAAAGGAGTTGTTACGCTGGGCCAATTTGGAGAGCAAGTTGAGAACTAAAAAATAAGCCAGTTTCGATACGCTGAAGAAAGCTTTTATTCAGGAATAGGCCAAAATACTGGAAGATCACAGCCATAGTCAAGACAAAAGGTGGCCACATCAAGCTAGAGTGAATGGATTGTGAAATTTTAATTATTTTCACAAATTTTTGTAATTTGAATCAATAAAAAAACCTGATTTCTAGGAAGTCAATTGGAACGCATACACACTCGTATGTATAAAAACTGGTTAATACCTGCTGCCCAAAAACAAAAAAAAAATTATTACTATGTAGCAAAACGCAGTCTTAAGTTATACACTAACAATGCTATGTATTTTATCTGTTATGTAGGCTGATTTACAATTTTCGAAGATTTCGAATTCATGAAGGTCTTCCAGGAATGTAACGGAACAGAAGGGCGAGGCAAGAAATGATTGATTGTTAAGTGTTTTAAAGTATGGCTTGTGTAAGTTAGTAGGGTAGGTATGATAGTATGTACAATATTTATATCAATTGATTTAATGAAATACATTTTCTTTAATAAAATAAATTTTGTCGTCCTGAAAAGGACGGATTAATTGATAGTTAATTCTCCACGTATATGTATTCGTATTTTAATAAATAAAATAAAATAATTTAAGCCTTCTTTTCTGTTTTCTTTGGCAAAAGTACAGCCTGAATGTTTGGTAGTACACCACCTTGTGCAATTGTAACACCAGACAATAATTTGTTCAATTCTTCATCATTACGTATGGCCAACTGTAAATGACGAGGAATGATTCTTGTCTTCTTATTATCGCGTGCTGCATTGCCAGCCAATTCAAGAACTTCAGCAGCCAAATATTCCATAACGGCAGCTAAGTAGACTGGAGCACCTGCACCAACGCGTTCAGCATAATTGCCTTTACGCAATAATCGATGAATACGACCAACTGGAAATTGTAATCCAGCACGATTTGATCGTGACTTTGCCTTGCCTTTAACTTTACCACCTTTACCACGACCAGACATAGTTGAGTTGAGTTTCTAGTAGTTGAGATTTATAAAAATTGGATCTATTTTTTTTTAATGATGCCGACAAATTATCTCATATACTTTTTCTAAACGCAATTTAAAATAAAAAATTGCTTTAAACTTTCGTTTGAAAAATGTTTATATAGAAACGGAAATTGCCCCAAATCGACGATTAAAATTTAGAATCGAAATCAGATCGACCCGAAAACTAGCGGGAAAATGCAGCAAAGAAATGAATGGAAGAGGGCTGTTCAGAAAAATATAAGACGTCAAGTAACGATACAGAAGAAGAATTGTAGCGCGAGGAGGAAGGAGTAGCTAGTGCGTAGTCACATGTGTATAAAGGTGTTGATAAGGCACAGTCCACGGCCGATTATTGCTGGTATATCATCGAAAGCCATGAGCATCATGAACAGCTTCGTGAATGACATATTCGAACGTATTGCTGCTGAGGCTTCGCGCTTAGCACACTACAATAAGCGCTCCACCATTACTAGTCGGGAGATTCAAACTGCTGTTCGTCTTTTACTTCCCGGTGAACTGGCTAAGCACGCAGTTAGTGAAGGAACAAAAGCTGTCACTAAGTATACTAGTTCCAAGTAAATTGCGTTATATCAAACAAACACCACTTATTCAAAAGGCCCTTTTCAGGGCCACAAAAATATTCAATTGAGTTGATAATTTATCTATATTATAAATATGTATAGAGCCCTGAAATTATTTACGAAAACTGACAGGCTTATCAACACCGCGTTATTGAATCTCAGAATGGTTACAAGCTCCTCGGGGAGGTATGCAGATCTGATAAAGTTATAAACAATAATCCAGACAAGGCGTAAAGAGGGGTTAAGAAGAAACCTCGTAGTTAATAGAAAGTAAAAGTGCTCAAGTGCACTGACTCAACTAGCCTCAACATAATAATAATATAAATATGATATATATTTTGTTTTTGATATTTCTTTTAAAAGGCTACTGATAGAAGAAAAAAATAAAAAAAAACTTTGACAGTCTCTTCATGAATTATCAGCTATCGTTTGGTTGTTAGTGAATAAATGATTCAATCAACAAATTAATTTCTGTCGGTTTTGAGGATCTTACAGTTTTTTAATCATGGATAATATAACCTGCTAAATAGAGTTAACTCTTGAATTAACGAGTCTTAATCCTTATCATCAGTCTTAGTACTATCATCGCTTTTAAATTGATATATTCTATATTTACATTCGTGCTTTAAATTTGAAAACATAAATATAGTATTTGTTCCTTGTCATTCATTCTATGATACCATACAATTTCATGGGATAGATAAGCTCTTTTACAACTCATTCCTTAAGCGTTCTTTTAGTAAGTTCAAGTCTTACATTATGGCTTCTGATGCTTTCTGCTTACAGCAAAAGAAAAATAAAATATATTGATTCAATTAAATGTTATGACGTGAAACATTCTATGTCTAATGATACACTATATGATACTAATAATAGTATACATATGATGCTAATATTATACATATTAATATATGTTATGCTACTTCTAATAGCAATGTCTATACTACATCTATATGATATAATTTATCATTATCTCTTTTCTTTGAATAAACTTACTATGCAACAATTGCATTTACATTTTGCTTATTTTATTTTCGTAGTCAAAAATAAGCAATTGAAAATAGTTAAGCAATTTCAAACCCTGGATAAGTCATGTCATTTATTTATCTCTTTTCTTTATATAATTTTGGTCCTGAAAAGGACCGATTTTTGTATATTTATAAAATTATATTGCTTCCAATCTTAAGCACGTTCTCCACGAATACGTCTAGCCAATTGAATATCTTTTGGCATAATTGTAACGCGTTTGGCATGAATTGCGCATAAGTTAGTATCTTCAAAAAGACCCACTAAGTATGCTTCGCTAGCTTCTTGAAGAGCCATTACAGCAGAACTCTGGAAACGTAAATCAGTTTTGAAATCTTGTGCAATTTCACGGACCAAACGCTGGAATGGCAATTTGCGAATCAAGAGCTCAGTACTCTTTTGGTAGCGACGAATTTCACGTAAAGCTACAGTTCCTGGACGATAACGATGTGGTTTTTTCACACCTCCAGTAGCTGGTGCACTTTTACGTGCGGCTTTGGTAGCCAATTGTTTTCGTGGTGCCTTACCACCAGTCGATTTACGAGCAGTTTGCTTTGTACGAGCCATAATTTATGAGATATGTTACAATATGGTATTTTAAAAAATAGCGCAATTGAATAGCTCAATTTTCTCATCATACCTGGATGTTCTGTTTCAACTATTCACATGTTTTAACATTCATTGTTTCTCATATTGCTTATTCTTTTTATTTTGTTTTCTTTTGTTTTGTTTTGTTTTACTCAATCTTTTTCATATCTTTCATAGTGCTTATGTTTTCTATAAATAGTCGTCAATCATCCGTCGTCACTTCATTTATTGTTTGAATTTGAATTCGAACGGTTCTACCATATCTATAAAAATTTAAATACAAAATGACAGGTCGTGGTAAAGGTGGCAAAGGATTAGGAAAAGGTGGTGCTAAGCGTCACCGCAAAGTTCTTCGTGATAACATCCAAGGTATTACGAAACCAGCTATCAGACGTTTAGCTCGCCGAGGCGGAGTTAAGCGTATTTCTGGTTTGATTTATGAAGAAACTCGTGGAGTATTGAAAGTATTTTTGGAAAATGTGATCCGTGATGCTGTTACATACACAGAACATGCCAAAAGGAAGACTGTTACAGCCATGGATGTCGTATATGCTTTAAAGAGACAAGGCCGTACCTTATACGGTTTTGGAGGTTAAGCAAATAATCAATTATTGATTTAATAATGCAATAATATATTGCCCAATGGTCCTTTTCAGGACCCAAATAATCTTACACTTAAAGAGATAAATTTACATATATATGTGTTGGTATTTTTCTAATATTATAAAAAAAATAAAATTTATTATTAGCTTGGTCGATTGATGTCTGTCGAGTATAATTGATAATTAAAATGATCAGTTTAACAGAGTCCAAAATATTTATTATTATAATTCTCAATTTCTTTGTTACATTAGCAGTATATATGTGGACTAGCTTCTTACGGGCTTAATTATAATTCTCATTCAATTTTTTTATAGAATAAGATAAATAGAACTGACGTATATAAGTAATTTGCGGACTGTTAGATATTGCAGTTTGAAGTTTCCACACAATGGTGTGAAAATTTTCTCCATTCATTCCTAAGAGGTGGTTTTAGTGAATTCAAATCTCACACTGAATCTGACTCTTAATCTTAATCCAAATCCAAGTGTTCAACAAGCAAAATGATTGCGGGGAAAATGAAAGTGAAAAAAATTCGTATATGAATTAAGTGAATTATGACAATATTATATAAAGAAAAGAAATAAAAGAACTTGTTATTGAAATAAATTAGAATATTTTAAAATTATCTTTAAGTAATTTGCAGCGTCTTGCAAGTGAGTACCGAGTGTGGTGTGTTAGTTATAAATTAACAAGTGTAATTAGAAGCATTATATAATAATAAATAAAATTAGCATAAACCACTATTTTTATTTATTTAAAATAGAATTTAAAAATGAAATTAAGTGAATAAAATATATACAAGTGAGTATTTCATCAAATAAATGACATATTTTGATATATAATATTTTATGGTCATTACTATAATAAATAAATAATTGGATATTAAATATAATAGAATAAGATAAATATTTATTAACTTAAGAATGATGTGAAGTATTGCACATAATGTCTAAATAAGAGAATATAATTTTTTTAAATGCATAAAGAATTTTTGTTTGCTTATTAGAGATTAAATTTATAGCGCATTACAGAATAAAAGAATCTCTTCATATTATTCATGAGGTATTATTAAAAGAAATGATCGTGCACTATGACAAGGTATATTGTGCCCATTACTCGGGTTAGAATGTTTCTCCAAGTCCGTTTTCTTTAATGAAAGACAATATAAAGTCCTAGTCTTGAATATTTATGATCCATGAAATACCCTCCTAGGTGTTTATTCCGTTTGTGCATCAGTGGACACTACCCAAGCACATGGTATACAGTTTCTCTCTTCTCTACAGTATCTGCAGTCTGAGTTGGATTGAATTCCTAACTTCGATAGGTGATTATTCAATCTTTAGTGACCGGTCATTAATAAACGCAATAGGTATACCATATACTAAAACATTTTATAAAATAAATAAATAAATAAATAAATAATGAATCTTCTTATCTTCTTTTTACACATATTTTGTAGCCCTAAAAAGGGCTGTTTTGATGAATTTAAAGTTTGATTTTTAAAATTATTTTTTTGCAGCAGTTTTCTTGACTGATGTTTTTTTAACGGCAGTTTTTTTAGGTTTTGCGGCCGCTTTAGCTTTTGTAGAAGTAGACTTTGGTTTAGCTGGCTTAGCCTTAACAGATCCAATCTTTTTAACACTTTTAACTTTAGCTTTCTCAGTTTTTTTCTTTTCAACACTCTTCTTAGCTGCCGCAGATTTTTTAGGTTTTTTCTCTCCAGATACCTTTGCCTTTGACTTTTTAGTACCTGCAGATGATGCAGTAACCTTCTTCTTCGTAACACCTGATGGCACCTTCTTTTTCTTACCCTCGACAGACGATTTAGGAGACTTAGCAGCAGCAGCTGATAATTTAAATGAACCAGATGCACCTTTTCCTTTTGTTTGTATCAATTTGCCATTAGCTACAGCAGTTTTCAAATATTTTTTAATAAATGGAGCCAATTTCTGGGCATCACATTTATATGTGGCACTTATATACTTTTTAATTGCCAACAATGAAGATCCGCTGCGTTCCTTCAAGTTCTTGATAGATGCATCAACCATTTGTTGTGTTGATGGAGCTGCAGAAGGTTTTTTTACTTTTGTTGCCTTTTTAACAGCAACTTTCTTTTCAGGAACGGCAGTTACCTCCTTTGGAGAATCTGTATTTGCAACGGCAACAGCTTCAGACATATTTGCTTTTTAATATTCCGTAATATTCTTACTTATGAATATTTTTTCGCATTTTTATGGTAGCTTAGCTCACTTTGTACGAAGCGCCGAGAAGAGCGCATTTATAAAAATTGTTCATTAATACATATTTCTACTGAGTTTGAAAAAATTTTTCAACATTTATTATTAATTTTAAATAGACCAAGTAAATTAAACACAATTATTTAAATCAAATTAAGTAAAGAAGATATTGAATATTTTATTACATTCATTTTTATACTAATTATAATTATATAAAATATATAAAAATTGGTTTAAACTTTAAATTTTGTAAATCTATAGTTGAACTTGTTAATAAATTAGAATATTTTAAAGTTATCTTTTGTATAATTTATATATTAAATTATTTATTAAATAGTTTATTCAATTCTCTGTTAAATTATATATATGGTTTTATATATTTCATATATTTATAAATGCAAATTTAATAAAACACGAGATGCATAAAAACGTCAGTTTTAACATTTTGAATGCTTATGTTTTATCCTATTTTGAAATATTAACTCAATTTATATAAAAGTTTAAAATTTTAAAGCACTAATAGAAATAATTATAAATAAATATATTGTATTTTAATTAGAATATAAGATTATCACTTTTAATTATATCAAATAGTGTCTATTTGAGATTAGATATCCATCCATAATGTTAACATGTTACATTGAATTCGTTTACTTTAAAATATGTTTTAAGATTTTCTATACGTATTATTTTTAAAATTTTATTACAAGTTTTAAATAATTTTTAATCATGTGAAAAATTATTATATATAAACGTTATTAATAACATATCAGCAATTAAATTTATAGTTTTCAATATCATTCGAATATAACAACTGTACGTATCCTACTTAATAGAATTCATAAAAAAAAATTATATCTACATACATGATTAAAAATATATAAGAATGAAATCATTTTACTTTTTCTTTTATAATTATAATTTAATCATTTAACTTTGACTATTATAAGTATTTTATTAAATATGTATATTTAAAAAAAATGTTCTTTTTATTACTTTATAATTAAAATAAAATTAAAATTAGATGTGCGTATTCTAACATTTTTATAAGGAGTGATATACGACATAAAATGTTAAAATTTAAGATGAATTTTTTTATAAACTAACATGGATATGGATAACATTTAAATAGATACTGAAGTATATATATAAACTTGCGGCTGCAATCTTCCATAGTCATTCCTAAGAGCTAGTTTTAGTAGGTTCAAGACTCACACAGTGGCTTCGGATGTTTTCCATCTACTGCCATAAATCTTTTATAAAATATAGAATATTTTATAAAACTAATTCAGATACAAATTTTAAAAACTCTACCTTTAAATAATTTATCTATAATAATAAATATTACAATACCAAAATATTGAAATAGTAACTATGATAATAATAGTAAACATTTAGGCCGTGTGCGAGTTCGAGTATATTTAGGGGAAATAGTCAATTATGTCGGTATGGCAGCGATTGTTGGTACATACCAGAATTTCTAATGAGATAAATTAGGTGTTACCATTTTGAAAATTTTATAAGATGTTTAGTAAATAAATAAATAAATTTTAAAACTTTTAAAAGAAAAATAATTATTTTTTATATGTTTCCTTCTTTATATTATGAATATTAATGTTTTTTAATAATTGTATCACATTTATTTAATAATAAATACAAATATTTGGCACAAAATTATTAGTTTCTTGATTTCAAAAAGGTAATTATGAAACTTTATGCTATTGACCTGGCAACGTTATTTGTTTTGTACATTTTTATTAGTAACAAATATAATATTAATATTATTGTAACTTAGATTATACTACCTGCGAAGATTTATGTATCTATTTACTGATACGCGAATCTATGATAAATATTAAAAAATTCTTAATAATATAAAGGGTTAGGCGATTGAAGTGTTACAAATTACACAGAGATATGTTTGTCAAACTGATATTGCCAACTACGTCAAATTCATATGAATGACAGCTATTTATATTGTTTACAAATTACCACAAGCATTTGCGTCTAAGTTTTATAGAACTAATATTATTCGAAATGGAATTAATAAATAAGTGTGATTGCATTATATTTGGTTGGAAAATTACAACTAGCTATTGTGCTTGAGCTCAAATATCTCAATGTGAATAAAATGTTTGTGTATCGTACCTTAAATCGTTATAATAGCTCAGGCAGAGTCACCAAATGCTATAGTGGTGGACGAAAAAAAACCAGCAACATTGCCTAAAATGGTTCGGAAAGTGAAGGCTCGACTTAAACGAAATCCACGTCGTAGTACTAATCAAATGGCCAAAGAACCGATAATATCTGAACGAAGCATCTGACGCATTTTCCAAAATAAGCTCAAGGTAAAGCTTTAAAAGTTCCAAGGCACAAGATCTTGCACCAAAGCAACAAAAAGTTAGACTCGAATGAGCAAAGGAGTTGTTACGCTGGGCCAATTTGGAGAGCAAGTTGAGAACTAAAAAATAAGCCAGTTTCGATACGCTGAAGAAAGCTTTTATTCAGGAATAGGCCAAAATACTGGAAGATCACAGCCATAGTCAAGACAAAAGGTGGCCACATCAAGCTAGAGTGAATGGATTGTGAAATTTTAATTATTTTCACAAATTTTTGTAATTTGAATCAATAAAAAAATAATGTGATCGCTTGAATAGGTAACACTTCAATTATCTAACCCTGAATAATAAACTTGCATTCTTAAAAAATAGTGGCACAGCGAACCTGATTTCTAGGAAGTCAATTGGAACGCATACATACTCGTATGTATAAAAACTGGTTGATACCTGCTGCCCAAAAACAAAAAAAAAAATTATTACTATGTAGCAAAACGCAGTGTTAAGTTATACACTAACAATGCTATGTATTTTATCTGTTATGTAGGCTGATTTACAATTTTCGAAGATTTCGATTTCATGAAGGTCTTCCAGGAATGTAACGGAACAGAAGGGCGAGGCAAGAAATGATTGATTGTTAAGTGTTTTAAAGTATGGCTTGTGTAAGTTAGTAGGGTAGGTATGATAGTATGTACAATATTTATATCAATTGATTTAATGAAATACATTTTCTTTAATAAAATAAATTTTGTCGTCCTGAAAAGGACGGATTAATTGATAGTTAATTCTCCACGTATATGTATTCGTATTTTAATAAATAAAATAAAATAATTTAAGCCTTCTTTTCTGTTTTCTTTGGCAAAAGTACAGCCTGAATGTTTGGTAGTACACCACCTTGTGCAATTGTAACACCAGACAATAATTTGTTCAATTCTTCATCATTACGTATGGCCAACTGTAAATGACGAGGAATGATTCTTGTCTTCTTATTATCGCGTGCTGCATTGCCAGCCAATTCAAGAACTTCAGCAGCCAAATATTCCATAACGGCAGCTAAGTAGACTGGAGCACCTGCACCAACGCGTTCAGCATAATTGCCTTTACGCAATAATCGATGAATACGACCAACTGGAAATTGTAATCCAGCACGATTTGATCGTGACTTTGCCTTGCCTTTAACTTTACCACCTTTACCACGACCAGACATAGTTGAGTTGAGTTTCTAGTAGTTGAGATTTATAAAAATTGGATCTATTTTTTTTCAATCCTTTTTTTTAATGATGCCGACAAATTATCTCATATACTTTTTCTAAACGCAATTTAAAATAAAAAATTGCTTTAAACTTTCGTTTGAAAAATGTTTATATAGAAACGGAAATTGCTCCAAATCGACGATTAAAATTTAAAATCAGAAATCATGCCACCAAAAACTAGCGGAAAAGCAGCCAAAAAAGATGGAAAGGCTCAGAAAAATATAACCAAAAACGATAAGAAGAAGAAGCGCAGGAGGAAGGAGAGCTATGCTATCTACATTTATAAAGTGTTAAAGCAGGTCCACCCCGATACTGGTATATCATCGAAAGCCATGAGCATCATGAACAGCTTCGTGAATGACATATTCGAACGTATTGCTGCTGAGGCTTCGCGCTTAGCACACTACAATAAGCGCTCCACCATTACTAGTCGGGAGATTCAAACTGCTGTTCGTCTTTTACTTCCCGGTGAACTGGCTAAGCACGCAGTTAGTGAAGGAACAAAAGCTGTCACTAAGTATACTAGTTCCAAGTAAATTGCGTTATATCAAACAAACACCACTTATTCAAAAGGCCCTTTTCAGGGCCACAAAAATATTCAATTGAGTTGATAATTTATCTATATTATAAATATGTATAGAGCCCTGAAATTATTTACGAAAACTGACAGGCTTATCAACACCGCGTTATTGAATCTCAGAATGGTTACAAGCTCCTCGGGGAGGTATGCAGATCTGATAAAGTTATAAACAATAATCCAGACAAGGCGTAAAGAGGGGTTAAGAAGAAACCTCGTAGTTAATAGAAAGTAAAAGTGCTCAAGTGCACTGACTCAACTAGCCTCAACATAATAATAATATAAATATGATATATATTTTGTTTTTGATATTTCTTTTAAAAGGCTACTGATAGAAGAAAAAAATAAAAAAAAACTTTGACAGTCTCTTCATGAATTATCAGCTATCGTTTGGTTGTTAGTGAATAAATGATTCAATCAACAAATTAATTTCTGTCGGTTTTGAGGATCTTACAGTTTTTTAATCATGGATAATATAACCTGCTAAATAGAGTTAACTCTTGAATTAACGAGTCTTAATCCTTATCATCAGTCTTAGTACTATCATCGCTTTTAAATTGATATATTCTATATTTACATTCGTGCTTTAAATTTGAAAACATAAATATAGTATTTGTTCCTTGTCATTCATTCTATGATACCATACAATTTCATGGGATAGATAAGCTCTTTTACAACTCATTCCTTAAGCGTTCTTTTAGTAAGTTCAAGTCTTACATTATGGCTTCTGATGCTTTCTGCTTACAGCAAAAGAAAAATAAAATATATTGATTC